GTTTCAATCACTCTGTTCGTGCCATCGCGAAGTTATTCTGGTTTATCCACACCACAGTCAAATACCAGTTTACCAACAATCTAGCATGAAAGTGTGATGGGTTACCGGTCACCACACAAAAACATGCCGATACACTCAAATTACCCTATATGTGGTTTCTCTTAGCAGCTTTCTACCTGTTTTAATCATGTTGGCAGATGTAAAGTATTTCATATGAGATAGTGCGATTAACGCTTCGAAACCAACTAGAAGAATTTTTAACTCCCGAGTTTTAGTACGGTTCCTCGACATTTTAGGCACGGATAGGCATTCTGGTTATCAAACAACAGTGCTTGACAGAATACTGGAACCGAGGAGTTTAGCCGTTAATTAAGGGCGCTAGTTGGGATGAAAATATGACTTACTGCTGTCTGTGTGCATATGGGCAAGTCGGTATAATCACACCAGTGAAAGCGGAAAGATATCCAAGTGATTTTTATGTGCGTGCAAATTCCACTCATTGAATTGGCCTCGATGCCAATAAACAAAGCAAAATGGCAGTATTCAAATATAGCCTCTAAATACGTTACACGATCGTTTAGCATATTTTGTAATAAAAGTTAAGCTTGCCTGTTTTCACAATTGTAGCCTGGGTTATTTCACAACGAATTGACTACTTCTAAAGGTTGGTAGTCTCCATTGAGAACCGACATTGCTTTCAAGAACTGCAATATCACCAATTGATTTCTTTTCAGCTCGACGCAAACGTTTGAGGAGATTCCAAATTCACGGTTAATTTCAACAATACCGTCAATGATTGATGATAGTAATGTTTGGCAAGGTGTACGCAAATTTCCGTCAAATCAATGCTTTAAACGACCTTAGTAATCGGAGTAGAGTTTCATCTATATCACGATGTTGTAGATATGAGATCCTTTGATACACATGTGTTGTAATTAACTGACCTTCATTTATAGCAATACAGAAGTCTTGTACACGGAACATTTGACCAGGTATTGCATTTTATTTCTGTTCAAGGGGAATAAATGTCATGAGGAACGTGAGAAATTATCGGATGATGTTCTGATTTACTTCGTTAGTTTATGCTCGTTGGGGTAAAGAATAAAGATAATCAAACATGTCCTGATAACCGAATATCAGTTATGATGGCCATTACACCTCTTCATACGTGATGCACTCATGTAAACGAAGAATTTGGAATCGTTTGGCTGTCAAAAATACTACTAGCGAGTAAAGACAGAAGAAAACAACACGTGACGCTACATTCTCCTCATTGTAAACTTAAAGTCTCCTAGCTTTACCACCAACCATCTGCCTCACTTCATTTATGACTTGAATGAAGTTTTTCTGATTCTCACATAACTGCCAAAGCTTTAATAGCAGCGGCAAATATTAATGTTAAATGATAGTCGTACGTACAATGCTGCTGTCTGGAAGCACTCTATTTAGTTACAATGACCGATTGATTTGCATTCCTCGAACGTCGTATCTAGACTCTGAGAGTTCAACCAACCCAGAACACGCTTAATTTATCATATCTGCGTAGGTGAGACCGAAAAATTACATGGCTACTAAGTTCTACTCCGAAGTCCACTGTTTGCTCACTTTGGTGTGGACTCTGTAGTATAATCAATGAAAGTGAAGAGCTGTTCAGGCTAGATTAACTTAACTGTCAATTACTTTCACAACCACAGACAACATTTTATTGAGTAAAATTCCGTTAAATACTACCACTTTAATGAGCCGGATTACAGATTTTGAGTAAAATTTGTTAGAAGGAACCATCAGGCTAACCGAGAAGTCGTTCTTTTAAAAAACTCCATAAATCCAGATTTTCTGAGTCAATATCTGCTAATGATGTGAGAGAACTTTATAATAATTTAAGCGACACGATTTGAGATCCAAGACCAAGGAAAATAAAATGTGTACCACATAGATGCAACCGTTTTTTAGGATGTTAGCTTTCCCTGGCAAAACGTTTACCGTTGTGTCTCAGCACCGCAAGTGAAACATTAGCTAAGCCTCGTGCTTGGAAGCTTTATCGTCAGGCTCGCTTTGGTAGGCTGTACTATTTAGTGGCTATGAGAATGATGTGATTGCTCAGGTTCATTTTGTGGTCCAGTAATTGTTTGTTACGAAGCTCATAATTGAGGCGCCGAGCAGAAGTCACGTTCTTACTGGGATTCACACTTTTTTGCAATCATATTTACCAAGATCACGGCTAATACGAAAGTCCCTTGAACAGTCATTTTGGCCGCTGCCTTGTTCCAGAATTAGGTTACAAGAACAAGCAATCCTGTGCTTCTAATTTTGTTCCAAGTGTACAATCCATGCAATAAATGCGGGTGGGTGACACTAAAAACCAGAATACTTTGTCCATTGATAAACTACATAGAATAACCCTTTAATCACAAGACAACAGTCCACCACTTCTTCACTAGTTAATGCAACGAACAGCCACGAATTATCAGTGTTTATCTAACCTCTCTGACTATTTCTTATGTGGCAGTGTTCACGCACATTTCTCAAGCATGAAGTGGTTTTCCATATTTTCACTAAACTATCAGAGAAAAATGCATCGAATTTTGATCTATTTAACTCCACTACGATTTCCTTATGAGCCAAGCGTAGGAGTGTAGATGATGAGCGTAGCGGTTGGGTGATTAGTGCTAAGGAAAGTTTTAAGAAAACCGAGGGGTAAAGTTGAACGCCATATAACTATGCAAGAACCCCCAATTTTCAACGTCCTATACATCTTTTCGCTGAACTTCCCATTGATATAAAATTGGATCAGCTAAAGAAACAGCTTGAAAAGAGCTCAAAATAGCTGCAATATTCTCTAATCCCATTTACAGTCCAGCTGATGAGCTTCACAAGTTTTGAAGAACAAACGGTCAATTGTGGGTCCGTTCATTTCTAGTGACGAGGATTGGGATGCAACGCACTTATCTCATGCCACTGAATATATTTTGCCTTTCCATACGCACTTTCAGATGCGTCAAGTTTTAGGCAGAAGGCCCCAGGTTGAGAATGGATATCTATGTAACAGATAATTAACTATCTGGGGTTTCTTTTCCGGTTATTACTCTCAATCCATAAAAACAGCTCCTGATGTGTGGTTTCCCAATCATATATAACTTCACAGCAATCATTTTGGGAAGAGTTTAGTTCCGTGAGGGATTCTTTAATCATGAGCATACCAACAGGGCATGAAGTTGCTTTACGTGACAACAGAGAGGAGGGAAGAATGCAGTTTGTCATCAAAAGTATGGCGCTCCACGTTCATCATGAGCTTAGTATCACCGATGAAAGTCGGTCATATTCTGCTGCCACGTGCGTTTTTTATGGGGTTAAGTATTGTCCTACAGCGAAACATCCGTGCGCAGCCATGTATTAGAGATGGGACCATTAGGTTGAGGAACTGGTCTATCTGATAAGAGTTATTTACATCGTCCTCCGGAAGTCTGATTATTCACGAACTGGCCGAAAAGATTATGTCATGAATGGGACTCAAACTATCAATTTGATCATGGATTGATAAAGGTGTCTCTCGACTTTCTTGTTAGGAGTAATGTTAGTCAGCTGACCTATACTGCTGCGCTTTAGTCTGATAATTCACGTGATCAGTTTATGGATAGCACGACTAGACAGAGTAAACTTCACTTAGGCTGAAACCCCAGTGATTAGATAAATTCCACCGCGGTTCGGCTCGCCTATCATTCTGCAACTTTTCATCTCCGAAGAACGTATTCAGCCCTTAATTGCATGTCCCCAGCTCACCAGTACTTGTTTGCTACATCTCGGGTGGCCAACATTGTAAATGCTCAGAAGTTGATTTCTGTCTCCGCCAGGTCATATGCTTTTTATAGAGTTAGTTTCTAGTGGTCGCAGTCCGAAATCGGGGATCTCATATACTTGAGATCCAGGTAATGGACGTCTAATTAAATCAGTCTGTGAAATAGAAGACAATCACGTTTTTATGGTGGACGATTATGACGCCACAGCTGCATACCTTTGAGCTGTATTTGAACGTGTCGTACAATGACAGAATTTTATAAGGTTGACGCTTATAGGGTTTACGTAAACTCGGGTTCTTCCCCTACCTAATGAGCCCCAAGGAGGGGGAAGCCGGTCATGGGCTGTCTAAAAGTTTTCAGCAGCCTTATGAGTAGTGCACTACAGAAATATATATGTATCGCTAAATCTCGAATATCGTAGCAAATAAAACACGAAGCGGGCTGGTGCAGCACATAAAACCGAAAAGATTCAGCTGGGTTCCAAGTGAGTCTCTCGAAAAACGAAATTAGTTTGCAAATTAGTGTATTTCACTAATTTCGTACAATTTGGTTTCAAGTAGAACATAAGTTTGGCGGAAGCTCGGGGACTGCCTCTACCTGATGAGCCCCAAAAAGGGCGAAACCGGTCGTGGGCTGCGAGGAGTTTTCAGCAACCTTATGAGTAGTGCAATACAAAAATATATAGAATGTTATATGGTTAGAGTGATCCTTTCAAACGGACATGGATACTCAAACAGAACTTGGTGGAACATCAAAACCGTTGACCAAAAGGCTGCGTTATCGATCCATTCACACCCATTTGAAGAGTCCCAATAAAAAAAGTTACTACCTGGATTAGTGTCGAAATCCAACCTCTCGCATTTGGCGAAGTTTCAAGCACACACTGTGAGATGACCAGTTTTCCAGGAGGATCAGTTAGTGCTGAAGCAGAACAAATTCTCCAAATTGGAAACCCAGTAAGGGGCGCTAATTCAATTTTGTTGAGTCTGCTGGATGCTACGCAAAAATGAACTTTCGGGTGGCATGAAAGTTGCCATGCAGCGCCCCTTGCTACCATTTTACACATCAGTATTTTATCAAACTTTTGATAAGATAGCATCTCCTGGTCAAAGTGACTGTGTTTCTACTACAATACGAATAGCCAATTCTGAGTTAAAGTTCCCAATTGAATGTATTTTTTTATAAAAAACAAAACGAACTCACGGCAAATGCAGTCGTGATACTGGATCCTTTTGGTGCCACAGGTATGATGTTCTGGCTGTAGGCCAGTTCCTCCAGTGTAGTTATGGGCAGTTTCACGTGGCTGCGGCTCATGGTCGCAGTCATAAAAGCTTGCCATGTCGCGTGAAAAATCACAATCATGACCCAGAAGCAAATGATAGCGGAGCGAGCACAGGGAGCAAGCGGATACACTTCACATCCTACAAGGTTATTTTAGAGAACAAAGGTATTCCAATAATAATTCATAAGTGCAGGAAAAATGGCAGTCTGAAGTGAAATACCGATTGTACATTTACAAATACATATGCACAGTGTACATAAAATTGTTTTGTTGGGTGATTGACGTCGCGTTGTTCGTATTAGGTGCTTTCGCTTGGTCTCAGAAGGAAGTTAAAGACTGCGCTGTTCGTTGAACGATAGTGGATTGATTACTTGTCAAAACTTTTGCGAATATCCCTCTGTTGCCGCGCACGTAATTTTGCATGACAATACAACGTGTTTGTAAATGATCGCTTGTCATGAAGCTGCATGTGGTCTGTCTGAAAATACCAAGTTTCCTAGAGGGCCGGATGTTTTTGGTGAATCGTCCTGATACTACATTTTGGGGGGAAATTGATCGGTGAGTTCTACTAGAGAGCATATTATAGTTTAGAACACCCAACAAGAGAAAATTCACACCGCATACCTCACAAAGTTTCCATGCGATATCAGATCTGGCAAGGATATGATGCGGCTTTAAGGATAGATCAAACGCATACACAAAATCAGTATAAGTTTAAACAGGCGTAATAATCAGTGTAAAACGCCAAACACTTATAGCATCTTCTCGAAACGTCAGTTACATTCACAGGTTAAATTTCGAACGGACTTTCCAACTATGCAGTTTTTCAGCAGAATGCTAGAATAGTAAAATATTATAGTAGTAAAATAGTAAAATAGTAAATAGCAAAATAGTGAAATATTATTCAACGGGGTGTCAAAACGGATATTTTATTTGTAAAAATGTTTTTCAGAGTTAAAGATCACAATCGTTACAAACAATTTTAATTGGATTTTTTATCGGTTTCAAGTAACGTGCACAAATGTAATATCACAGTCAAAGCCTATGAAAGCCAGTAGTATACTAGTAGTTTTATCGAGATCCCTTTCACAGTCCTGCTCAGTGTATATACTAAGATTTTTGCCTGTCAACTGGCTCAAATTAAGCGGGCTCAGTAACCTACCTTATACTACCTCAGAATTTTCCGGGGTGCCAGCAGAATTTCAGAAGTTATTTCAGAAAATTCTGGAAAAGGTGCCATGTAGATCTCATACACTGCGACCACTAGCGATCAATCAAAGGACGTATTTCGCATCCTACGGTCTAATTAAGCCTTCGTTGTAGCAAACGTAGCTTTGTTTTGTCGTTGGTGTGTACGCTGAGCTGGGCACTTTGATTGCAAACGCTATATCACTAATCCAGTTGACATCATCAGTGTCTTGATGTTTATTTCTAGAGATCAGGACGATGAAAAATGGTTCAAAAATCTAAAAACAATGTTACATGGGAAGTCAAGTTCACATGTTTAGTTTTGACGCAATTTCAATTTCAGTTCCGTTAAGTCCAACAGCCAGTAGTTCACGGGTAAGAGGGGTCACAGTGATCAACCTCTTGGAACCTACCTTGTAGCAGCAAGCTACTTAAGGTGGACCAAATGTTTTCTCTGAGCGAAATTTCATCTTCTGAGGAGTCCGGAAGTCCCAGGTTCCATGCAGAAAAGGGACTGAAGTAGTTCAACAGGAAGAGCATGGTTCCAGTGAGAAAAATGGACATAATTAACAAAAGCCACATTTCCCGCTTAAACGGCTGGAACGTTCTGAACGGCGATGCGTTGGCGTAGATCTTCACTCCCAGTGTTGCAGTTCGTGAAACCGTGAAGGGGCCAAGGTACCGAATCACTTTCGCGCGGTCTTCGGTAAACGCAAGAGGTGCAGCAGCTATGTCAATCCTCTGAGAGTACAAAAATTTGTAAAATGCACGGAAAAATTAGCAGATACACTTGAAAACTTGAGACGCAAGTTTTAACTACCCTAAAGAATCGCTGATTTAAAGCTGGTAAAGAAACACTTGAAATGGCTATCATTAATTGATGCAACACATGTTCTGGTTTGCAACTTCATTTGAGAGTGATAAAATTCGGTTCCTCATGTTTGTAAGGAAAACGACTGCTTTCATCTTATTACAGACTGATGACGAGTAACTTGAAGTGAACGGTTCTATCATGAGAATTCATACCAGTAGATGGGATAACTTTGGGTTAATCCCAATGTGCACTATTGTGTGCAACGCGACAAATCCGATCCTACATATTTAGGCGCTGTACTCCATTAGGGTCAGCCGCCAATAAAATAATGTCTCTCAGGAATTTTGACTAAGTTGGAGAGTGTGAAACCACCGTTAGTCAATCAGTTCATTCACCTATTTTTCAACTTAATGATGAGACAAAAATGCTCAATGGAAATGCGGAAAGATACATGGGTTCTGGTCAGGTTTTGTATCCACTTTTTATTAAATGACCTTTTCCACATTGGCGAAATACACTTTTTGGCAAATCCCTTTGATACTAGTGTAACGGTCGATACTACCGATGAGGGTATGCCAGTATTACGTTTTCGCGTAAATCCGCTTCGCGTCTCCTGAAAAGTGAGATCTATTATGGATGTTGTGGAGTCGAATTTGCTTCCATTTGAGCAACAGTCAAGAATATTCAGGAAAGTTTGGGAAGGCGCGTTCAAGGAGAAGATGGATATTCAGTTTCTGTAAGCGAGATGCATATGAGAGTTTTGCTTCCCTGTCCAATAGGCTGTAACTGTTCACTTGGCGTTTCCTAATAAAAGAACTCAGGAGTGAAGGCCTTCTTCCTTCCAATTGTATTCAAATGCAAAGTTTACTTCTTGTTTCCGTTGACATGTCAGTCAGATAGCGGAATAGATCATTTCAGTATACTTCACTATTTATAAGTTTGCTGAAAACAATTTTTCCCCATCTTGCGCTGTTCATCAAGAGGTACTCGTAAGAGTTGTTTGCAGCTTCCTTGTGAGTACAGGAAGAGGCTTCGTAGTGCTGTTATCGTCAGCTGCTAACGAGCGTCTGAATAGGGATGCCATGTTCTTGCGATGGTCTGAAACCATTCAGACCAACCATTGAATATCTCTACTAAAGGTTTTCCGAGACGGGTTTTCGTCGAGAAAAATGAGCGTTTGAGTGCACGAAAACGGCTTATTTTGAGTTCCGGAAGATTTCACAGCTCAGGCGATTGTAAACTTGGTCGTGTCACCGGTTGGCTATACTTCGCTCTGTAAGGCCGAAGACACAAAATAAATATTGTGCAAAGTACGGTGTAGTCAATTCCGTTGTTGAAAGTGAAGGTCGAAGCTGAGTAAGCCAGTGGTGCAGTGGAAATTTGCAATGCTACTTTGGATGAGCATTGGCATGCTGTTGGCGACTGTCAGATGCGTGTATCCCTAAAAGACATAAACAACACACGGGTTGGCAAGTTCAACCTTGCACCAATGCTTGCGTCAAAGCTCTGCTCACTCACTTATAGTAAAGTATTGACAGATTTTATATATATAATTCTCATAAAATAGTTGAAATTCATGAGTAACCCAAATTCAGTGGCCAACTGAACTTTGCTCAAGATCGCGATACGAATCTTGACTGTCATCCGACCGAAAATAAGTAAATGATGTGCAATGTAATCAGCGAATCTTGTAGATCACAAAAATACTAGCATCGTAATGCTACCATCCAGAAATTCCGGAAAGATCTTATACCAAGTTTTGTGCAGTTAATGATGGGGCTAATCTTAAATTTGATCATCAAGTCTCTTGGAAAATATTTCTTATTTGAAAGCACCAAATCAGCAACTTAGAGAATGACTAATTTTTTCATCCGGCTATTATGAATGTACCAAAATTCATTCCATTCAGGAAATATTTTGTGACCAAAAATGGCAAAATTATTGCAGCCATCAAAGGTCTCCATTTATGGACTGCTTCTGTTGAATCTTCGACCACTGGCAAGCTGTTCTCCAAACACAAATCAGGTAAAAATGGTAGACGCAACGTAAAAATATGAACATGCGTCACATGACATTTGACTGGTGATTAGATTACGCCTGTTTTTAGGAGGAGCATAACGTCCCTCAGAAGATGTAAGACAGTGCAAAGGCTGATGATATACATCATGACATCTCACAGTTTGACCACGCTTTCCATCTGGGTGTCAGCCACATTCTTGCCGGATCCTTTTACAAGAAGGAGAAAAGTTTAGTATAATCAGTGATACCAGGTTAGATAAATCTTAAGCATATGGTTTTCATTCGGAGAGGATTGTAAGAGCGAACCGTTCAGCAAATTATCCCACAAAGCAAATAGATTAATTGGCCCGGAATAGCTGGAGCAAGAGAAGGAATTTTTGAACGGGCATTTACAGTGCTTCAATAAATGCACAGTAGACTTGTTACACAAACCACTTTAGTTCATTCAGCAAACAAGAACCTATATTTATTCCTTTAAACCGGAAGCCACGATGTTAAAACCGGAATAAGGCTCGTGCCCACTCCTATGGGTGTCCACACAGGAACCAAGCACTATCTGATACCAACCATCAGAGGATCTGCTCTGTCCAATCTACCTGCCTCTCGTGTAGTCTATGGGATATCCTACAGCTGCGGAGACGCTGATATTGGCAGGTCAGACAGATAGCTAGCCGAGCGTTAGCCGAACGCATTTTAACCTAAATAACCCAGATGGATCGAGAAAAAGTTTGGATCAGATTTTAAGTCGCAGTAGCCATCGGACTGACACGGACAACACATACAAAACTTTTGCTCATGACAAATGGAGCACTGCTGATCTAATCAGATTGGCCCCCTACTAGATGCTTGAAAACAGCTGATGCAACCCTGGAACTAGTCAGCTCAGTTGCATTATTCGTATCAGCGTCTGTCCAACATTATTTCATTCCTTTGTTTATGTGATTCACATGGAAACAACAAAAGAACCGTTGATATATTGCACCCTATCTTTTATCAGTTGTAAACAGAAACTGATTAGATCATTTTGTTCAATTGGTGTTCACAGAAAATAGCAAGGTACAACGGAAGGTCTTCTGCTTACTGTAAAATAGTAGCTAATTTTGCTTAGCATTTATTGTGAAGCTAGCATGGGGCTTCGAGGCACAAGAAATCCACGATGCAGAATTCTCACGCCGTCGAATTAACTATACCAGTGATCTGACTGTTCAACAAACATTTGGATAGCTATTACTTCAAATTAGTTGTGTTATTATGTTCCAGGTATCTCGAAAATGCCCTCGTTACTTAGCCCATATTTCCGGTAAACATTCAGTAATGGGGGTAGAGCAAAGTTTCAGGAACTTTCGGATGGAAGGATTGGTATCGTAATTTACGGTGGACAAGTAAAAAATTGCGAGCAGTGCTAGAAGCATACCAAGAGGGATGGGTGCTCGATTTTGACGATTTTGAGGTCATCGGGTTGTTTTCAGTGCGAAAGAAATCGGCCGATGAAACCCAAAAGGTTACGCTTTTACTTTACTGTAGGGGACACACAGTAGAAACAACTTGTATTGTTGACCTGCTTCAAAGAACTTATAATAAAAAGACAATTGCCACAACAGCCCACTAAGCACGTGAACTCTTGCCGACCTAACTGAATTGACAATGAAGACTTAGGCATCTACATAGAACATCCAACAGTTGGAATACTGCTTGTACGTAAAAAAATTGGAGTACAGAATGAAGTAGCATACAATAGCTCACTAATATTCAAGTTATGAACTCGCATTAGTGGTGAATTTGTTACATAGATGCATGCGTTTACATGATAAGCTCCATTGTTTAGTGGCATTGATGTAGGTTTAACTATGTGAAAAATCACCAGCCCGGGACGGAGACTTAAAAACAGCACTACTCTATTTCATAAAGTACTTACAATTTGTGTAAAATGCTGACATACATGTATTCATCTCAAAATGCGTGAAAAAATGCCATCTTACCTCCGTGAAATATTACGGACTACTTCCAAGTACGAATGAAATTTCACCATTTCACTTAGGAAAGTATGGTCGCACTCGGTCATGTACTCAATAGAAATCAATGTCATTCAGTCTGAAATCTGTTGGAGACGCTACTTATGCGACAAGAATACCGCACTGTGTTTTAAATCGTGAGCTTCACTTACCTCCCTATGGACAGCTCACTAAGTGGGCTTTCTGGTCATATTACAGTATGGCGGTAACAGTGATTCAGCTGCATACGGCCTTCATTCATATGGAATGTGTGGCTCACAAGCAAATGCGTAGCAGAAAAATAACCCAAAATGTGCAAAACAATTCATGCTAAATTACGTGTGAATTGAGTAATTGAAGAATTAGCACTAGAAACGAGGCATGGCAGAGTGCGACTCAAGAATAAGGGGTAGGCTTCGAATTGTTATTTCAGTGGCTTTTTTATAGAAGTAGTCACTACGCTGGTTGACTATTGCTTCACTGAATCCTAACGGTACCGCTTCCATTTCTAGTGTAAATGCAGTAGTCAAGTTCCTAGATCTCCGTGGGGATCCATCGCTTAATTGGAGATGAAATCGTTGCAGGCATGCAGATAAAAATGCCTATAAAAGCTTGCATGACAGTGCTCGCAATGTTCTATTGCGCGAACTGGTTGTTGCCGGAAGGTTTTTCGGAGAAGAGATGATAGGTGATGTACACGACTCAACTGACAATAGTGCATCGCTCATACTGGCTGAAAATATCTACCTGTACCACATTTGGTGGTTGTAGAGTTGTAGTAGCAAGCAAGAGTTGTCGTCCTTTCTGTTGCCAATTTGTTCTAGGCGAGGTACATGTTTCCCCTTGATCAATTTGCAAGAAATATACAATACAAAGGCCAATTACTATTGTCGGCTTGAAGCCACACTATTCCGACAATAACATACTCGCGACCGTATCTTACACAGCAATTGCCTTCATCTTCACCATGGTTGCTCTCATTTTTAAAACAAACTGACATTATACTTCATGCAATTCATCACATTGTTTCGGCGATTGACTGCTTTCGCTCTGCCTGAGCAAATGGCCAATATGCGGCTTAGCACAAGCAACTAGAGTAGAGTATTTTTGCGCTGTGCTGTGGCACCACAGCAGACACATGATTGATAGTATCTTCGATGAAATACCGCCATGTTGTCATGGTAGCATCTTCAGGTTGAATGATTGCACGTCCGTCAAATGCACCTGTTGAACAAATAAACGACGACGGCAGTTTTCGCAAGATGCCAATGTGGCTGTTACTAGCAGTAAAATTGTTTGAAACTAACTCCAGTGAGCAGATCATGGATGAGACCACTCCAGTTCCCAGACTTGTCAGCTGCTCCATACTGTTGATCGGAAGACTCGTAGAAGACTGGGCTGTGAAAAAAGGTAAAAAAAAATGAAGGTGCACAAAGAAGCAAGGTTTTATTGTGGAGACTAGTATGGTGCGGTGAGTGCCGATTAAGAACTGATCGGTAAATGTCGGATAAACACCGTTATTGGAAACGTTATTGGCTTGCGGGTGAGTAAAGTGTGATAACCCATGAATACCACTATAAGTCACTTTGAAACAGACACAAAAACCTTACAGATCTCTTTCTAACGAAGTACCGGGGCAACCTTTGTGTTGCACATTAGATAAAAGACTGTCGACATGATGTTAGCTACAAGTGGATAAATAGCACCCTCAATTTCAGTAGTTTCAACGTGCAAGTGAACTGGAAAACGTGATCGATCTCGTCCACGATCCTCCATCTTACAACTGATTAAAAGCGCGTTAGATTTGAATAAAAATGTTGGATCTTGGTATGATTTTTTGGAATAATTCTTCGGCTTCAGCTGCTAAAGGCTGATTGAATGATCAGAGGCACTTTTTTCGAAAACGAGGCGAAAATCGATGTCCTCTGTCTCCGTAAGAACTGTATCTTTTTGTATCAGATTTTTGTGGAAAATCTTCAGCCACAGAATCCCTTATCTTCGTCGGTTGTTTAGGGATGTTACTGGATTCAGTGATATATCAAAAGCAAAGTTTTAATTTTTCTGTTTTTGCCTCATTCGGGGACAATGCAATGGGACGCATTAATTACGGATATTCTCAGCGTTCAGAGTATGAAATCGCTTTAGTAATGCATTGAGGTTTTTGATTCTGTGATTATTCCAAGTGTTCAGAATATCTTCACAAAAGATGATTTCAAGGTATCAAGACAACATTTACCTCCAAATATAACTTTTGAACTACAGTTACTCCACTCTTGCCAGAGATTTATTAAACTCAGGCTCACCGAAACTCAAAGCGCTCTGCAAGAAGTTGTGTCAGGTCGATCATTACTCCTGCGGGATTAATAAGTTGCCCCTCGCTACTGACCTCAGAAGGTTGTACATAAGGAGGATCCTGAAGAAGAACAAAAATATTCATAATACAGAAATTAGATTAGAAATTAGATTAGAAATTAGATCATAAATGCTAAATTTCTAGCCAAAAACAAAAAAAACATTTCTCCATGAGTGAAACTAAGTTAGTGACTCATTCAAACACACTTTGGGAAAGAAAAACCAAGCTTCACTATTTGTCTTCTAGATTATTGTACAGGAATCGCTGGTCGTTGTTAGCTAGTCTAGGGCTTCCCCCCATTCGAACTAATGAGTGCTCAAATTTCACCATAGTATGATGTAGTCTGGTACGTATATTTAAAGTGACACATCCGTGTGAAAATTGGTTACGTGAAAAGTTGACATCCGGTTGGGATTAACTGGTCATAACAGTTGAACTAGTGGAGTTTCGGTGAGTAGTGGAAAGGCCAGGGTTGTCTTGCTTTGAGCTGTACAAATTGCTTTGGCACTGTTGCAGACGCGAGCAAATAAGATAGGCAGGTGAACATGAAGACGCCTACAGAGGTCATGAACATATTTTCTAAAATATCAATACACACGAAAACGGGATCCAGTAAAGACATGAAACCGATGGTAACTTTGTTGATTCACTAGCGAAATGAAATAATGATAACTGCTTGTCTCGCTTTGTTCAACCATGTATTCATGTTTTACTTCGTAAGGTATTAAAGATACTGAAACAGTTCTTCTTGCCAGCTACTGAATTCGTGATCTTGGGGCCACTCAACTCTCTCTCTCTGAGGTTCACTATTCGTTTTGGTGGTACTGTATCAAGCAGAACGTTTACCCATTCATGGAAGGTGAGGATTGACAGTAAAGATGGACCAGGTCATTAAAACACAACCCTTGCTAATCCTGGATATAAGCAAAATGGACCAAAACGCAATGCGCAGATATAAAGGTAGGCAGGAACAATTACGTTCCGTTTACTAGTACTGCCAGGTTAGTCTTAACTAGAGTTTCTTTGGACGTAGCAAGCCTGATTTCAGACATACAGGGTTTTCAGTGCTTCTGATATGCTAAAAGGCTGTCTTCACTGCTAGTATATGGTTTGAAATGCATCCAGTGTCTCTGCCGGGTTGTTTCGACATCATTTCGGATGTCCCTCGGTTAGTGTCCTTATTTGCCTGGGTACATCTCTTTTTTACTACGGGGACACTTCCACATGTTTGAATATAAACAACAGTTTTTTAGATAAACATATTAAATCAACAGACCTGAAGCTTGTCTGGGTGAATTGTCAAATGCTTCTGACCAAAATGCAACCATCACCAATGTCGAATCTCGAAACGTCCACCACGATTGCCACCCCCACTTAGGTGATATGGAAGATTCTCCTACTGAACAAAATACCTATCCCGCAAAACCGCAATGGGTTTCAAGCGTGTGGCACGCTACCTGACTGGGATTTCCTGACTGGCGGGTCAATCGATCGTGAATCAGGCACACCAATCACATCACTCAAGTGTGAACACGTTAGCCGTTTCAGATGTGAAAATTGAGATGCGTTCAACGCGCGTTGGTGGGGTAGTGGTTACACGCTCAACTCGTCTGTCAGAAGTCCGGGGTTCAAATCCAGGCACGGCCATTGGATATGCACTGCTGATGAACTCTAATGAGAGCGAAACTCGAGTCCATCGCTTCCCTTTGGTGTAGACGCACCGGATTAATGACGCCAGAACGAGAGGAAGACCGTTCAAACGGGAATGGTGTGACTATAAACGAAAGCAATATCCATCAAGGAAATTCGGCGGCCTACTAGCTTTGTGTGGTTCAACCTGGGCTCTTAGGATATGATTACTTCTTGTTGCCATGTTCATACTTTTTCCATTAGGTGAACCATTAGGTTCCAATGGGAGCATGACATCACCGTGTACGATTCACGTAGGTTTCATGTCTGCAAATGACAAGTTTAAAATCCCCGGTATATGCAACACAATATGTATAGGTAGTGTGTGTATAGGTATATACATACACATATATTTGTATTTATATGTATGTAAATATCTAAATATAATGTTACCTCATTACACTAATCATAATTTTGGTGATAGCTCATGAGAAACCAATTTACTTTCAATGGTAGTCATTCCATGGAAGAGAAAATGAATAAAAATGTTTTCTTTCACTTTCAGCTTCAAATGATGGTTAAATGGACTGTCAGTCAATGATACTCGTGAAGAACGTGCTGAAATTGAAAGCACAGAGTAGTTTATAGTCTAGGAACACTTTAGTCCAGTTCTAAACAGTCATAAATTTCTCTTGTCGCCCAAGATAACAGTTTTCTGCATGTAAGTGGACTACTTCCCTGTACTTTATCATGGCATTTTGCCATTGTCATAACTCATCCGTAGCATAGTTATTTCATTAGATCATATAAACATCACAGTCAGTACTGACTCCCTCTTGCGTTTTATCATAATTTGGCCGTTTGGTCGTCTCATCTAGATTTTGATTCCATTTCCCAATCAGGGACGTCGAAGTCAGCGGAGTAGGCTAGAGTCATGCTTAATATTTGTCAGGCAATCATGATAATATAGTTGCTTTAAACTTACTGATTAATGAGGACTCTTTATTCTAGCTTTTGAGATTGTTAACTTAATTACCTACGTTATACATGGCTTTGTAGCTCTCCACTTAGAACAATGCTTCCCCGAATCTAGAATGCTTCGCACACATTTTCTATTGTTTGGTTTCGTTGACGGTGGGATATCTGCAATCCTAAAGCCAATAACTGGGCTTTTGGGGTACCCGCTCTAACAAAGACTGATTCTAAGCATTACTGGTCAATTGTCAACAAACCGGTTCAACTTCAGGAAAAGAAGCGGTCAGTGCGGTGGCAGTAGTGCGAACTGACCGGATAACACCTAGGGAGAGATGGATTGTACCTCAGAATGTGCCAGTACACATTGTTGACTGAAAAACACTGTTTTCGATGTAAATCCAGGTAAGTTAAATCTCAGAAAATAAACATTTTAAGGCAGGTTAGCCATAAAGTGGTCAGAAAACTTTCGCATCCAACTTTACTATTTTGACTGACTTCGAAGTGCATCTCAGGGGGGATTATCTTAGTTGAAACTGTTTTGTTTCATTCGGATTACGAAATCTAACCTTCTATAGGTGAACAAAAATCAGTGACACTGGCTGTACCTTTTTGATGTGCAAAGTTTATAAGTCGAAAACGTTAATTTTCCCCCTAATATTGCAATAAAAAAGGATGAATTTCATATTCTTGAAAAGAGTGAATAGGCGTTAATGCAACAAACCAAGATGTGACCAGAGTTGTCTAGACGCTTTGCAGACAATAGTACTAGTCTGAACACTTAGCTTCACGACCTTGAGCGGCTGATCACCCAGGGTACTAGCTCAGATGTAGATAGGATACAGTGCCTCTCAGCCTTCAGCCGCAACCACATCACGTGGTTGCCTATTGACTGGCTCCTCGAGTGACGACTTCCCAGATGGCAACTTTGTGGTGGTCTCTGATTTTCGAAGCGTAGTAGTGTGATAATGCGCCTTGGTCTAGCAATGCGCTGGCGTGTAAGCCTTTACACCGAGTGCTATAGTCTGCACACGTATTAATAAGGTCTATAAGAACCACACTTCATCCATTTGGTTTTAGATTACGTCATATTGGTGAAGAGAAGGATGCTGGATGTCCGAATAGCTAACTCATTTACAGCGAACTATTCTGAGTACAAGCCTGTCCGGTGAATCCATCCTAGTGAATGGAGTTTTGGATTTGTAACCAGTCACCGGTAGATTTAGCTAGCTCATGAAACTTGGAAATATGCATAAAATGCGACCCAGCATCTTCAATTATAAAATGCGATCCAGCATCTTCAATTTCCTAAAATTTGGTGTACGTCTGTGGTATATAGGTTCTGAATGAGCACAGCTTATACCGGCAGATTGCACCGGAGTACTACTAGGTGACCCGCTAAATGGGCGAATTTTCAGGAGCATCTTGGACAGTTTGTAAGAAAATCAAACGCCGTACACCAATGCACTAGCCGAAAAGGGTACCAAAAACAGGGGCACGGTGGCATACCAACGGTGACTGCAAAGCAAAGTTCCAGGAAGAATTCAAAATAATATGAAAGCTCCTCTTTTGGGTTACGTACAATCACCACCCCGATGCGCAGAATTTGTCCATGTAGCCCCCGGAAAGTATTTGGAAACAACCCAGACTTTTGAGATTCATGTAGGATAAGCTTGCCCCATTTGCTGAGTGTGAGATTTCCATCAATGATTACTGCTGTCGGAATAAATTGCGTGGATGTCTGTTGATTTCCGTTGATTTCTGTTGCTGTCGCGTAGAGGATTAGTTGTTGATTAACTTTTGACTTCTTTAGTCGCTGGGGATAAAACGGTGAGAGTGATAAGATGCAAGTGATGTGATTGAGCGTGACTTCAGCATACCAAAACGTACAAAGGTCCTGTTAGAGTCGTTTTTGCTGTATTTTGTTTTTGCTGTATTGCATAAACTTTGGAAATCAGATTTGTAGAATTATTAGCTCACACAGTGCAGGATCCTAAAATGAGAATATGGGATACCAATAAGAATGCGTACCTGAATAGGCCGTATCGCCAATCAATTCACATGTGTCGCAAAGTCAGTGCCCACCACTGTATTCACAAGTAAGAAATTCACGGTAAGAAGGTGAATTCCTTTTCAAGATTTTTAATGATCAACTGTTAAAGTCGTAACACAACATACTTAAAGTAATGGAGTAATGGAGAGGGCATAGTTGGCAAAAGGACTGGATCACTTGACTATTACAAAGGGATAACAATACCAATATCACGTGATCCGCAGTCATTGTTATTTTGATGACTTCCGAGGGTTTATGTTCATTTAGCTGTGGCCGTATGTTCACGGAGTTTTTACACAGAGTTGCTTAGTTTTTGAGCTGGTTTTCCCATTTTTTATGTCAGATCTCATACTTTTCTCATACAAATGCTGATTCATTAGAAAACACTCCAGCCGAAGGTTATCTAGGTTTCAGTTGTTTTAAAGGCAGAAAAAAGTGCGCAATCAACCTGTCATCGTGATTCTCAAAACTGACTTGCATTTTGGTATCTATTCTAGAAAATAGTTCACAGAATGTTATCATCGGAAGCAGACGCATAAACCACCAATAGTGGTCAGCAACATGGTACAAGCCATGTTTGGTCTTGCTCACGATTACTCTAGCCCTATGCACAAAATCACAGGATCTGTAGCGACAGCACGTCGAAACAAATGAATAAAAACACTAATGCACCTCGACCGGGCTACGTGCCATCCGGTTTATTCAAAATAACACTTTAAAGTAACTGCTTTAAAAGTTTTCTTTCCTTCGATCTCAAGTTTGGAATGAATAGATAATGTCATAACCCACCTTGCGTATACCAACATGTGACTGCCCCCACCCGCCGCACTGAGAAAAATGAACCAAAGATTCGTTGCATATTGTTACATTGAGGGGCCATATATCAGTTAGCTTGCTCTAAACTGTCACACACTAGTTAATACTACCAGCGCAGTGTTTTGGAGTGAGTGCTTCTCATGGCTGTCCTCATTTCTGGTCAAATGGACTATATTCAGCTAGTCAGTTCAGTTAACTCGAGATTAGGTTACAGAATTATCTAACCAAAGCAAACTGATACAGTGAATCACCAACATGACTTAGGTACTGGTATCACCGTACGGAAGTTACTAGTGCGTGGCATTATAAACGCGATGAAAAAGTGGATAGGTTTAAAGAATCAGATGAATGACAATTTAAGCATAGATTGTCAGGGAAGTAATACACACAACTGTGCCAACCTGATGAGCCCCAAGAGGAGCGAAACCGGTCGTGAGCTTTCGAATAATTTTCAGCAACCTAATGAGTAGTGTATTACGTCAGCACGCTGAACCACCCCCTCATGGTGCTGATTGTGTAGCCTGGACGTTAGTCTGGGTAGGATAAGAGTGCAGCAACTCCAGGCAGTGTTGAGCACCTCGTTTGGTTTCTTTCGACAACATACGATACCAATAATCTGGCACGTCAACATCAGTTCCAAACAGTACACATGAGAGACTCGTAGAGCTCATCTGTGAAGAATGTGGCAGGTGCTGCAAATCGAAAGCTGGCTTGGCAGCCCATCATCGAGTTCACGTCTATGAAAGTGTCGGTACGAATGGGGTCGTCCATTTGTTCTGCACTGATTGCTTCCGCCCACTTCTGACGAAGATTAACTGAACCAACATCACCGGCACGCATACTTCACCCAGCATAATGCAGATAAGCTTGGTCTGTGAGCTCTAGTCCCAACAAGAGTCACAATCACTACTGCGCTTGACAAACAATTTATATCCGTTTGTGACACGCAAACCGCTCTGTTAGCGAGACTGGAGCAGTATTTTCCTAGTTTGATACAGTGCACACTCCAGTGAGAATTCTATAGTTTTCTCCAGTCCCGGAGTTTTCTGTCACAGAGGTATGAGGAAGGGAGATCCAATCTTCCCGATGTTGTTCATCATGGCAATAGATGGGGTTCTTGGATTGTCAATGCCACAACTAGGAAACCAGTTCCGTGATACCCTAGTGGATGATTCTGCCCTATCTGACGAATGGATCGCGTGTATAGAAGGTCAAACTTGCCTCAGAGAGAAGATCAAAGCCACTGGGGTTGAATTTGGAAGAGTTAATGAGACCTCAATACCCGAAAGAAGAAAGCGAGGGTGATTTGTGGAGACAGGAAACATTGAGCGAGAGCGGTCTCAGGCGAAGCAATTTGCTTCGCCGAGAAACTTTCACTCCTGTGATTTCGGCAGACCGTGACATAACTGAGTAGCCTCCTTACTTCTGACGGGAACATAGTGTTCAACCACAAACAGCTGCTGACAGAGTGCTTGATGAATGGACGCGTGCCACGTTAAATCCGCATAAAAATTGGAGATAACGAGGAACTACCTGATACTGAGGCTGAAAAATACTATCGTGCTCATCCAAGCCCGCTGAAACACGCTTCAAAGGCTAGGCAATTACATCAGGTGCTTTCGCGGCTGGCTATGTCTACCTTGATCAGCTACATCCACGCCGGTAGACAAGATGGGGGACCTGACATCCCAAGTCTGAACGCAACCAACCCGATGAAGCAGGGAGCACGTACGGAAAAGCCTCTACCTCTTCAGAGCCGAGTAGTAAAAAATGTGATCAGCGACTCTGAAATTAGCAATATCATTGGGGATTCAGGCCTCCGATCTGAATTCTTGGTACATGCATGAGCACCAAAGAAAAGCTGGTGGCTGCTTGGGGTAATAGTCTGCACAATATCGTTACGGGTCGCGGTTTACGAGAGTTGATCGCTCCGCTTCTTTTGAATCAATGGCTTATATTTATAGAACGCGTATTTCCCCAAATCTTTACCCGCGGTTTCCAGCTCCGATGTAGCCTGCTTAGGCGGAGATTTAAAAGCGCTCGGCTTGGTCCTGGTGACCAAATAATCTTCTGTAGTGGACACTGTAGCCAACCGGAAAGTTCAGTGCATATTTTGCAGTCTTGCTGGATCACGCATGATGTTCGTTGCAAGGAACTTGCGGAACGTCTCCACCTAGAATACACCATCTTCGAGGATTTGGAATACCTTCGTCGAAGTCCTTCATCAAGCCTGACCTAATCGCTTTTTGGCAGCGCCGAGCAACTGTGATCAACGTAAGCATACACTCGGAAGGGCGCAAAATGCCTGGATGGAATGGAAAGAAGCAGAAGTATGGTGCCAGTGAATATTCTCTCGCAATAATCTCAGCTCTATATGCAATCGATTTAATGTTGACTTTTTGATCTACCAACCGAGTGTAACTTCTTATTGAGGGATCTGCTTTCCTCAATCCACCAAGATTGTTATTTGACTAAGGTTTTCTAAGGTTACATTCAGTGACTCGTGTTTGCATTCTATTTTGGGCCATATGAGTACTTAAGATACTTGTATGCGTGATATATAGTGTTTAGTGTACATTCTTGCCATTGACTCTCACACCAGACCCAGTATGACGGAAACATTTTGCCTGATGTGAGAGTCATGGCTGGTAGTACTTGATAGTACTGACCCGGCCTTGAAGAGCATTCAGCATTGTTTGCCCTTTCTTTGGATGTTGGTCTTTACACATGTGTTTTATTACCAAATATTCTTACATAGGTTCATCTTATTTAACCAGACCTGTTGTTGGCGCGATTTGGAATGAGACACTTGCCTCGTTTTATCTAATGTTCTCCTGTAACACTTCCATATCCATCGTTTGCATTTACTTTTTACGTTTGTGACAGCGCGCTTAAAAAATAAACGATAGTTAGCTGGTCACAATTGATTAAAGAAACAATAAGCACGAACTTCATACTTTGCATCCACTACACTGGTTTGCTAAAGAATGCCAACGGAGTGGTCTAGACCAGAACGGTGCTTATGGTGACTCCACTGAGGTATGCAAACGATTTTCTCTGAGCATACGGCATCCTCATTCAGGAAAGCAAGTGCAGTGTATACGCAAGCGATGCTCAACGAGCACGTGACGTAATATTTGTGGTTCTGATACAAGGAAGCAGCCACTTCTCTCGCGGTGGTCTTCTCCTAGAGGAAACGCGAGGTGATTTCCTGAAAAATCTCCCATAGTTTAGTTAAAACGTAACAAGCGCAGATGACTTTATTTTAGTGTGTGCATTTGGATTAAGGTGCGAAGAAATTTTAAATAACCTGAGGCATCGATCGATTCTATTGCACTACGGACTAGATCCTATCCATCAATCATGTAAACGGTTCACAATTACCTGTTTCCTCGTATTGATTTGAGCATTTTGGTCGTCCTCAGCCAGAAACTGGTGCGCAGTTGTGGCGTGGTCGGAATAAGCTACGTATCAGCTCAGACGTCTGTCTTGAATACTACACGCGTAATGACCAAATGTAGTGTTATATTGGTCATCATCATCATCAAAGACAGCAACATCAGTGTTGCCACTGATGCTTCACTGCCGTACAAACATAAAGTTCGTTTATATATATATATATATAATTGTATTAAAAGCCCTACAGTGAAGAGAAGAGAAAAAGAGTGGGGGAGGGAGGGGACCTAATGCTGGTCTATGTCAAGCATACTGAGGTGCCTACACCTCTAACCGCTCAATCAGACAATCTGGAAAGAAACCGACAGCACGAACGCCACTGACATCGATTAGCCGCCATTTCTTGCAACGTCTCCAGCCAAGCACAGACGGGGTCACGGGGACCAGATCCTGGAAGTCGGACAACACCAACAACACCCGAACTCTTCGCGATCTCTTTCACGCCTTTTTGCCAAGTCATGTGCTGTCCACCTCGCGGTTTGCGCCATCCTGAAGGAGGCACGGAGAACAACACTGGTCTCGGTAGACGGTGTTTCGGCATGCGTACCACATGACCGAGCCATCGCAATCGATGGTGCTGGATGTTTTCCCGGATTGAGGTGCCTGCAGCACA